GCACGGTGGCGCAACTGGTAGAGCTGCTGCCTCTCAGCGAACAGGTCCCTGGTTCAAACCCCGGTCCAGGAGCCTTCTGGGTGGAGTTTGCATGTTCTCTCCGTGCGTGTGTGGGTTTTCTCCAGGTACTCCGGTTTCCTCCCACAGACCAAAAACATGCATGTTAGGCTGATTGGTAACTCCAAATTGTCCCTAGGTGTGAGTGAGAGAGTGAATAGGTTGTTTGTCTCGTTTGTCTCTATGTGGCCCTGTGATGGACTTGCGACCTGTCCAGAGTGTACCCTGCCCCTCGCACAGTGATTGCTGGACATGGGCACCAGCGACCCCCGTGACCCAAAATGGAATAAGCGGGTAAAGATAATGGATGGATGGATGGAAGTGCAGCTTCAACAAACTGATGTAGGAGTTGTGCTTTCCCTGGTCTCTGTCTCCCTCTAGTGTTCTATATGTGTCTGCTTCCCCTCCGATGTTTGCACCTGTGATATTTCACAGGTGTTCTGTGTTAGTCTCGTTAGTGTGTGTATTTAAGTCTGTTTGCCTGCGTCCCTCATTGTCTGGTCATTGTGTCTCTGTGATGCCTGTTATTCTCCTCGTATCCTGCGTCTTGTCCCATGATTTATGTAAGTTTGCTGCCCCGTCAGCCATCTTTATTTTGTAAATAATTTATTTATATTCCCTGAGTCCTGCTTGCCTGCTTGCACCAAATGGGTCTCCTGCCTAGAAATCATCACAACTGAAGGTGCAATTTTAAGTACCACAAAAGTCTTAATAAAATGTTTTTTATCTGCTTTTTAAAGTATTTTACTTTATAAAAATAAAAAAACCACGTATAGTTTAAAAAATTATTATTGTAAAAAGATCATCAAACTTCAATGCACTGTGCACATTTCAACTATGTGATTGACAATGAAGGCATGAAGAAATGCTGTTGCATTATTAAAAATAAAGAAAATTTTGGATTTATTATCATCAGCTACAAACATATTTTTTTCAACCAATGACTCTTGCTATCTTATATTTAAAAATATTTTTATAATCTGGGAAATATGTTATTTGTTCATTTTTACAATTCAACCTGAAAAGTAAGTTTTATGGAGTTATTTTAAGTCAGTTTCACCTTTAAACCACCACATGTGGGACATTTTTGTAAACAACCAAAAGGTCAAACATGTTTGTTGGATGTGTAAAAATAAACATGTCCCAAGTGTTTCGTTAACTGAGAGGATTTCATACATTTACTCTTAATTTATTTCCAACAATAAAAGTACATTAAAAAATTAGTCTGACTACTTGAATAAAGTCGTTCATGAAAGTGACCTGGATAATGTGTCATAACTTATTTTTGTTCATTTCACTGCACTTTAAAAGACATCTGACAGACTGAGCTCTGTTGTCTTCCCCTGGAAGTTCTTTTTTGCGGAGTGTGAACAAATCTGTGAACGTCTGAAATGCTTCCTGGTTGGATGTCTTCTTTATTGTGGCCATCGGTAAGTCTTTGGCTGGAGTGCAAAGACGTTTTAACCTCTGAGTAAAAGAGAAAGAACAGTATGCCATTAAAATGCACTTTTAAATTGGTAATTTTGTTCTAGAAAAGTCGTCAGTTACTTGTTTTAGTGTTCCTGGAGTGATGCTTATGGCGTACAACATCCATAAAGGTACCAGTAATGTTGAAGACAGTGTGAAAAATCCTCCCACTGCGTATCCCCACCATGGGTAATCATAGGTGTTGCTGAATTTGAGAGGTGTGTGTTTGACCACAGAGAACAGAAATGTGAACTAAAAGAAAGAGAAATACACAATCTAAGCCAGGCTGCCCTTGACTTAACGTGTTAAACTTGTTTTCTGATAAAGTTAAAGTTAAGACTAACTTCAGATTCATACTGTTTTCTCGTGACTTTAAATAAGTTAAAGATGAGGTGTCAAATGAAAGAATGAATGTAAAATAAAATCTATAAATCCTGTAATCAGTACTTACAGTACAGATAGCTGGTGTAAAGTACTTCCAACAGTACTTCATAAAAGGCCTGGGACGACATCCAGTCATGCTCTCTATATTATCATAGTAACAATCTGCACCTGATTTAAAACATAATGTGGATTATTTTGATTTTGTTGTCTAACATGCTGTAACACAACACAGAAAGGTAACATTTATGAAGTTAGGATGATTTTCTACCATAGACCCATCCAACACAGACGGACTGAAGAATGGCAAAAAGTAGAAGTGCCATCCCGCTGCAGGCATAGTAGTCAAACAACAGGAAAACATAAAGGCCACCCTGCAAAAATAAAATAAGACAACCCATCACTGGAAGTCTGCCATGCACTATGCCGCTCACAAAACGATAGTTTTATGTACACTAAGAGAACTAAATAAACAGTCTTATTTTTTATTCCTTTAGATAAGTCATCCTTTTCAATATATGCCTTCAGAGCTACAAGACATGTTTTTTTTTTTTCTATTCAATCAGACAAAACATTAAAACCTACTGTATGGAGATTCTGCAGATTTACCCTGAACTTGCAAACTAACTTTAACTCATGGAAACATGAACACGTGGCTCTTGAGGAGCTCCTTTTTGTCTGCGTCTCAGCAGTGGGTGCTTTGAGTCTTGTGGGTTGTAGTGGCTCATGCTTGGATTAATGGTAAATGGACTCTACTTATAAGATATATAGCATCTTTCTATTTTATCAAGATACTCAAAGTGCTTACATTACAATCTGTGCCATCATTTACCCATTCATACAGCGCTCTATTAGATCTCTACAAAGCTAATCTGAATCTGTAGAGACTAATTGGTGCTTTAGATCACATTCATACACTGGGACACACATCTGAGGCAATAAGGTGTTCAGTGTCTTGCCCAGGGACACTTCAGCATGTGACTGCTTGTGGAAATGAACCCCCAATCCTCTCATTGGAGGACAACTGCTCTAAGCCACAGCTGCCCAAGGATAACCCCTTGGATGCTGGGTGTCAGTGGCCACTGGTATTAATATATAATGTTGGTGTGAGAGATGCATTCATTTCTAAATCTGTGTTTAAGTGGATGGTTTGAGCTGAAGTAACACATGTTTAAGGGTTTTCTCATGAATTACAATAAGGAGATTGGTATTTAAATCAAGCATTGCTGGGTTTCATCAATCATTGAATTAAATGCATTACTACTTTATGTTAAAATATAAAGATTATGGCATATTTTGTAAATAATACCATTACTACTAATAATAATTATAATAATTAACACTGATGAGAAGAAGAAGAAGAAGATAACATTGTGCTTCTCACAAATCATCGTCATTGTAAACATTTTTATTTATCACACACATTTTTACATCAGTCTACTCACCTCAGTTACCATCACCAAACCAACCAGGAAGCCACCGACACAAATGACAAGAAGAAAAAGTTTACGTCGACACCGGTTTTGAAAGAACGAGGGATACATGTCAGAGATTGTTGTGACCAAGGACTCCTGATATACAAACTGTTGGGATGGCAAAGACTAATGTTTATTATCACACACAAAAAAAGGTTATTGCAGTATTGGAATGAAATTTTTAAATTATAAATGTAATAGATTCCTGGTCTTACCTCACTATCTATCCCTAAAAAGATGATCATAATGAAGAAGAAAACTGCCCATAACTGAGGAAGAGGCATTAGAGCCACCGCTCGAGGATAAGCAATAAATGCCAAGCCTGGCCCTGTAAAAGTAAAAAGTGTGTTCTGAAGCAAAGCACAGCAGCATTGTTCTCATTTCCTTTTAACATTATTTAAGAACCTTCAGTACCTGATTCCACCACTACTGATATATCAACACCTTGCTCCTTTGCCATAAAACCGAGCACAGAGAAGATGGCGAAGCCAGCCACAAAGCTGGTTAAGCTGTTTAACAGGCACAGATTAATACAGTCTCTGTATGGAAGACAGACATGAGAAAACATGTTAACCATAGTGGCTCATCATTATGTGCCTAGTAAATGTATCCGAAATATAAAAATATAAACCTGTAGCAGTTGTTGTTATACTTGTTGTAGCTTCCTAATGATGTCAGAACTCCAGTGCAAATGCCATAGGAGTAGAAAATCTGGCTTCCTGCATCCATCCAAACCTGAGAAAGTTAGAAGCGTTTCTATATGTGCACTGATTTTATGATGCTTATTATGAAATGTAAAAATTGACTTTTGAGCATTGTCACAATCTGATGACTTCACTGACTGCATAAAGGGAGGGTAACATATTTAACCACTACTGATCTCCTAGAGAGCTTCAGGCAGGAACCTCTCCATCAGCTGTCACTCAAGATAAAACATTTTGTTCCCCTCTGGGCTTGTTTAACTTCAAAGTCCAGTCCTGTTTTACATACAGGTCCTGCAGCTGTTCAAAGCTCGATGCATGTATTTATCCTGATGACTGTCAATTTCAAAGGCACTTTGAAAGAGAATATTAAACACCTAGGAGAGGTTCTGAACATCTTGCAATCTGCAAGTTTTAAATGGATAGTTCAACTCTTTTGACATGGGGTTTTGTATAAAAGTTATGAACTAATATCTTACTTGTTGTAGATAGCTTTTTGAAAAAGAAAGTGACCAGTTCTGAGTGGACAATCAAGCTAACAGCTAGCAACAGAGATTAAGTTATAAACCTTCCCAACATTATCAGTTTTGCATTTATGTTATTTACATAAACTTATTACATACTGTTATTTACACTAAAGACTGAGTTGGCTGCAGCCCCTTTAAAACCAATGAAAGTTATCCATCTGTAGTAAGTCACGTGGGTACGTGTCACTAGTTGTAGTATGACAAAT